TATATAAAGCTTGTAGCAATCAAATCTAGTAGCAGCAGAAAATTATATGTGTGTGTGTGTGTAAAGACTAGAGCAATTATATCCAGTAGCTGTAGTAACTTAAGGCGATAATAGATAATGGTAATAAAATCTGCTGAAAGTCGAGGAATAACATAATCTAACAATGGAAAATATAGAGGTGACAAACCTGGTCATCAGCATGATGTGCAACCAACAGTACGCTGATCTTCTGCTCGATGCATATATTATGTAAGGTTTCATACCTGTATATATATGGAATTAGATATAGGATGAAAAGACGCCACAACTCTAGAGGACTTGCTCGTTCTTGTCTCTGTTTTCTCCTCTGGAAAGACGAAAAGAATATCCAAAGAAAGAAAAAAAAATTTATAAGCAGAACAAACACCTCTTATTGCGAGCTGCTTCTTGTAAGTGACCAGGCTTGGGCCTACCATCCAACCATTCACAGCGGACTACTACACATTTGATTCCTAAACACAACCTTCATTATTTATCCATCATCCAACAAAATCAACTTATACTTCATTTTTGGAAACTGAAATACAACAACCTAGGCATAGCAAAGACAAAAAGGGAAATACCCATATCTTGGACTCGATTGTAAACGATGCTTGCTTCCTCTGCACTTTCTACTCGCAACCCATGATCCACAACAATTGCCAAAAGGCCATTAGTTGACTTGTTTCTTTGTTTGTCAGCAGCATTAAATTTATTGCATTTCCAAGCAGCAGTTAATACACAAAGTGCTATACTATCAGGACCACCAGAAACAGCTATTGCTGAATAGAAAAGTTAAGACACCAAATGAGTTACCACCTAATGTATAGAAAAAGATATTGGATACGGTTTACAAAATCTTAATGTTCACAGTGACCCCGAAAAACATAGCCTCAAAGAACACATAAATTTTATGCTACATTCATTGATTAGAAAAGTATGCAAACATGCACAGTTTGAAAGAAGATAATGCTGAAAAGCACATGGATTCAGACAATACAAATGCTGGTAAGCTTTAGCCTTTATGTTAGTGGAGAACAAAGGATGCTATTGTATTTCCCAAAAAAGAAAGAGTGTTGTGGGTACAAATATGAGTACATTTTAAAATCTTAAAAATGCTTTCCTTGAGTTATATTATGTGGTGACTTGAGGAAAATTTTCATATAAAAGCAACAAAATACGGCTGAGATATTCACTATCCCAGAACAATACCCTCATGCTTGCTAATGCAACCTCACTAACAAAAAGGACAGTGACTTGATAATATATACGTAATGTGGGGATGCAAAATGATGTGGAAGCCTGAGACGAAAAATTACTGTTAGAACATTTTAGCACAGAGAATTGAATTCTCAGAAACATACATTTGTATCATACAGGCTGCAGATGGACAGAAATAAAAAATATATTTTACATCCCAGAGGGACTAAAATTGGAGATTCCATTGTTTCTGTCATGAGTTTCTATTCCTGTAAGTAAAGAAAGAATTACACATTGGACAGCCATAACAACTATCATATCCTGTTATGCAGATGCCATTTAAATAATGATATGCCCATTGGTAAACAATGGAAAATGAAAAGAAATTGCATCACTAAATGATGAGAAACAATAAAAAAATGAATTTGTCCTCACGAAATTTCAACCAGCTAACACTTTTAACTCATTTTTCCAGATAACAAAACTTACTAAACAAAAAACCCAGGCGTTACTGCATCAAGTATAGATAGCAAGAAGAAAAATAGGCATTAGTTTCTGACCAAGACGGTGATGGGGTTTGATGCCAGCCATGGCCATTCTCTGAGCAAACTTCTCTGTGTACTTGGACAAGTCAATTCCTGGAGGCTGCCGGTGGAGGGTGCAGAAGAGGCGGGT